GAAATACGGCTAAAACCAGCGGCTGAAACCGTCGTACAAAATTACAATAGGATGGCCGCTCTCAGGTTTCTCTCTGATGTTATACATGAGTGAGAATTGAAATATCGAATCGACATTTGCGCAGCAGAGTGCGCACACATAGCACGGAATAGAATCAACTCTATTGGTAAGACAGCAAATTTACTAACTAAAAGGACGTCGTTATGTCTGGATTGTGACTCAAAACGCCAATTATTGCTGTTTATATTGAAATATAGGTACTACAGTGTAAAAACTTATACAATATTGTATTGCAGTAATAAAATACATCAGAAGGCATACAAGTTATTTCAGAAATACGGCGATAATTTGGTGTATTTGCATTTAAATGTTTCTTATTATATTGTTTTTTATTATATGATTTATAATAACAATGATACCGTATACAGAAATTTGCAAATACTAAAACATAATGTATTCTTTCTCATTCTTTTGTATTGTTAATCAAGTTCCTAATAATAAGTAATAATAAAATAAGCAATAAGTATTACGGTATATAACAAAACCTAAAAAAGTAACATACAAAGTATTTAATTGTTTACATTACTTTTTACATACAATATGCAAGTGTCAAAATAAAAATCATTGTTACTGTTAAATATGTTATGATTATCGGACAAAATAAAGTGCGAATTCGTGTTATCTTTTAGCTTTGTCATCTGGTGTTACAAAACATAAGATGAGTTTCAACGTAGACTCTCGTCAATGTTGTACTAATATTATATCACAGATTATAATCATTATGAAATCGAAACGTTGTATACATAGATATATCACGTGTATCACGGAAAAAAAAGATTTGCTAAAGTAGCAAGAAATTAGTTACTATATGGCCAGCAAAAAAACATTTGTTAAGTTTATCAAAAGTTTTGTTTCGCCAACAAAACATTTTGTTGATGAAACAAAAAATTTCGTAGAGTAAACCATTTTTCTTGCTAATCATATAATAGCAAAACTTTTTTTTCCGTGTAAAGTACATAACTTCTCACACAGCACAAAAACTTCAATAAACATCTATTAAGGTTTACATAAAGTTAATGACCGCTACTTTTTTGTTTAATGAAGTTTTTGTGTGGGCTTATTATTATCCTAAAAAATTATTATTAAAAAAACATAATTGAAAACATCATTTCACACATAGTTTACTTAACACATAACAACACTGTTCAACACATTTTCTGGACCTGAATGAAGAAAGTGTTTTCTAAGATTTTCGGTCGCTGAAAACGAATTTGACTGCGAAAATGGCCTACCACGTCAGGTTTCTAAAAAGCTTGAGATTAAATATGCCAAAGTAAGTGGTGTTGGTTATATTGACCATTTATTTGAGGCAAAACTAAAATGTTTTATACAATTGTACTTACGCCACATTAAAGCGCTATCTTATATATTTATAATTTTAATTAATATATACTATAAAATATATATTATAATATAATAGAATATATAATATATATTTATACTATAAACTTATATGTATATTACTATACGATCTTTAAATATACATATGTATATTAAAAATAACATTTAGTGTGTAGAAATATTCATTTATTACCTTGCACGTAAAACGTCTATCTTCATGCATGAGTCGTTTGTGCACCAATAAATTGTCTTTCATTTTAAAAGTCTGATTACACTCTTCACACGAATAAGGTCTATCAGTAGAATGATCTAGTGTATGTCTGTTAAAGTAATATTTCGAACGAAATGTTTTGGACCATATCTTAAAAAACAAAATTTTGTATATGTCAATATCCTAAGATTCTTAGAATATTGTTTTCATACTACTAGTATAAATCAATATAGAGTTTTATTAGCGTAAACAAATTTTTCAGAAAGTCTGAGGTTTCATATATTACCTTACATATAAACTTCCTCCCTTCGTGAATTTTCTTGATATGGTTGTGTAAACTTTGCTTGGTCTTATAGTATTTTTTATATTAATCACTCATATATTCTTCAATTATGTGAAGTAGAATATGATTTTGTAAGACAAGTGAGCTTGTGAATTTCGCGGTACATATCTTGAAAGAAAGAAATAATATGTTACTATCTTCATTAGACTTGGTATCGTTTTCTTTTTATATTTTGTTAATGTAGAATAATATAATGTATTATATTATTTTACATTAACAAAATATAAAAAAAATACAATACCAAGTCTAATGAAGATAGTAAGGGTAAGATATTATTTATTTCTTTCAAGATATGTACCGCAATGCACAAGNATTTTGTTAATGTAGAATAATATAATGTATTATATTATTTTACATTAACAAAATATAAAAAAAATAATAGAATACATTATATAAAATACATTATATATATAATACATATACATTTTGTTAATGTATTATATTATTCTACATTAACAAAATGTATATGTATTTACTAATAATATACCATTAGTTAGTTAATAGTAACTAGTTAGTTACCAGTAAATTAGTTAATAGTAAAGCATTGTGTGTGTTTTTTTACAATAAATGATTTTTCATCTCTTACCTTACATATAAAATCTTCTTCTTTATAGTTATGCATAAGCTGTTTGTGCATTTGTAAATGACTTATGCTGTAACATGATTCGTTACATTCATCACATACAAAAGTATATGTTTCATCATGTTGTAAAACATCTTGTGTACTTGTCGAAGATAGTGAATTCATCTTGAACAGATACTTTATTTTGTTAATGTTTGTATGTAACAGATATAATAAGGTATTTTTTTATTTCTTACCTTACGGAGTAAATCTTTTTCTTTATACATATGCATAAGCTGTTTGTGCATTTGTAAATGATTTATGCTGTAACATGATTCGTTACATTCATCACATAAAAGAGTACATGTTTCATCATGTTGTAAAACGTCTTGTGTATATGTCGAAAGTAATGAATTTAACTTGAACAGATATTTTATTTTGTTAATGTTTGTATGTAACAGATATAATAAGGTGTTTTTTTATTTCTTACCTTACGGAGTACATCCTCTTCTTCATACATATGCATATGCTGTTTATGCATTTGTAAATGACTTATGCTGTTAAATGATTCGTTACATTCATCACACAATAAATTACGTGTTTCGTCATGTTGTGGAGCATCTTGTGTACTTGTCGGAGGTGAATTTATCTTGAACAGATATTTTATTTTGTTAATGTTTGTATGTAACAGATATAATAAGGTGTTTTTTTATTTCTTACCTTACGGAGTACATCTTCTTCTTCATACATATGCATATGCTGNTTATGCATTTGTAAATGACTTATGCTGTTAAATGATTTGTTACATTCATCACACAAGAAATTACGTGTTTCGTCATGTTGTGGATCATCTTCTGTACTTGGCAAAATTAGTGAATTTAACTTGAACAGATGTAATATTTTGTTAATGTTTGTATGTAACAGATATATTAAGGTGTTTTTTTATTTTTTACCTTACGGAGTAAATCTTCTTCTTCATACAGTTGCATATGCTGTTTATGCATTTTTAAATGACTTATGCTGTTAAATGATTCGTTACATTCATCACACAAGAAATTACGTGTTTCGTCATGTTGTGGAGCATCGTGTGTACTTGTCGGAGGTGAAGTTATCTTGAACAGATATTTTATTTGGTAATCTTTTAAAGTAACAGATACTAAAGTACTATTATATGAATTCTTAAACTTTAAAGAATGTCAAACGTTTTTTACTTTACTTTTTTTTACAATGTTATTTACGTTTGAAATATTTAGTGTACATTGATATATTTTATCTTGTTTCGACCGAAGTGTAATCTCCTTACAATTGCAAGTGATATTCAATATATTTTTTGAAACTGTTAAAAGTATAATGTGTTGCTTACGACTTACAAATATTTGTGCTCTCAATTCAGGTGTAGTTGTATTGTCGCTTTGCATTATGGAAATTTTATGTTAGACGTAATAAAGTAACAAGTTGTATAGATATTCGAATTTTGAAGATAATGTAGTAGAAAAGAAGTGCTCTGTTTGTAAAGAAAGTACAATGACGTTTTATTATTTTAGATAAAGATAATTATTGTTAAGACAAATCATTTTTTTATGTATAAGTAATCATAAAACTTACGTAAATTTAAAGAAGAAGTGAGCGAGATATATCTATTTGGCAGCAAATTTGTACAAAAACAAGTCACTAGTTACACAGTAAAATTGTGTAAAATACTGTTAAAAATGATCGTTTAATAGATAAGTAACGGTCGACGGTTATCCAAGGAGATACAAAGAAAGACTGTAGAAGTAGCAATACTGCTATTGTATGAAGCGCAACAATAAACACATATTGGCCCCTAAGGACGTATGTGTGTATATTTTGAGATTGTTTTGTGTATTTATATATTATTCATAGTACATTATTTCGGTAAAAGAATATGTTGTTATGCATGTATAACGTTTGAGTCGTAATTATTATGTTTCTTCGCAGAAAGTGTGCGTAGAAGACATTTCTATGTAAAAGAGAAATCTTATGAAAAACCTGGCATTTACACCTCATAACGTAACGACATTTACGTTTGATACACGAAATTTCCATGTGTACCTAATACATTTTTGTGAAGAAATAATAATTACACCGTCCTACAAAAATAGAATAGGTTTTGGGGATCGTGAATGAAAATATTTTTCGATAGATTTGTGATCACGGAAAAACGAATTCGTCGGCTTACTACGTCAGATTTCCGAGAAAATTAGAAGTAAATGTGCAAACATTGGTGGTAGCTATATTTATCATTATTTTGCGGTCAAACTTCAGTTAAAATATGAGTGTTGCTAATATATTTTTGTGATGAAGTAACAAGTACACTATAAAACTAGATTGTTTTAGAGGGACCTGAATGAACAAAGCGTTTTTGGATTGATTTGTGGCCGCGGAAGAATGAATTCGACGGCGAAACTGGCTTGCCACTTCAGAGTTTCAAAAAAATTAGTGCTTAATGTGCCAAAACTGACGGTATTGGCTATATTTATTTTTATTTTGCGGTCAAACAGGTTTTTGAAAGTTTACTTACGCCATTAAAAAGCGCTAGTTTCTATCTATAATATAAATTTATATTTATTACAGTACGGTTTTTTTCATATACACAATTACCATGTAATAAATTAGTAACGAAAAAATAATTTCTACACAAAAAAATTTTGCTGTTATATATTATATACTTTTTAAATATAAATAATTGCTAAGGTTACGAAAAGTTTTGGTTTGCCAACAAAACATTTCGTCAAAGTAGCAAAAAGTTTTATTGACTCAAACATTGGTCTTGCTAACTACATAACAGCTATACATTAATAAATATATAATATATACAATATGTGTATATGTATAGAGATATATTAATATATTGTATATGTATTATTTATATATTAATATATGTATATTAATAACTATATTAATATATACAGGGTGTCCCAGAATAGCCGTACAATCTCTCGTAGGCAGATAGAAGGAATAAAACTGAGTCGAAAAGTCTTGAACCATTTTTTTCTATTATTTATAATAAAGGAGTAATTATTGAGTAAAGCGGGCCAATCA